TTTGCCGAAAAGTTGTACCTAAAAGTAGATACACGTACCTAAACAGTAAACATGTATTTTTATTTGCATAATCATGCAATGAAAATAAAAATTACATAAACGGATGATCAAACTTGACATTATTTAATAAAAATGTAATTTTACCAAAATATCGCAAAGAAAAATCGATACATTTTCACAATCGTTTTGCTATATCGTAAACTAAGTCGAAACTACTTAGTAGAAGTCTGAAATGTGACTATGAATAGAGGTAAATTTTAAGTTGGTACTTAAATTTAAGTTGGAACTTTGTTAGTTTCGACTTAGTTGCTGGACTAAGAATACGCGCCATTCATTATTGTGTGAGTAGTCAGCTTTGATGATTTCTTTTCGATTATTTTCAAAATGAATCGGTTAATCGCTCGATTAATCGAAAGGAAGATTTCGATACAATTCGTGAATCGTTAACCGAATGAAAATAGTCTCTTATTATCGGTTATTCGATTAATCATTCCACTACTAGTTTTCCCCGCGCACTTTGCAGAAATATTTGTCAATCGTCTATTGTTTAGTTCATCAGATATACAATTTTTGTGATGCGTATAACCAAAAATATGCCTATATTATAAAGTATTTAATTGTGAAACAAATTTGGAAAAGGCTAAAAAAATTCAGAATGGCAGATGATCCAGATTTCTTGGTTGCGCTGGAAATGCAAAGGCGGTGGAATGCAGAGCCGAGTATCGATTTGAGTAGTACTGCAAATAGCGATGATAGCGTAAGTTCAATGTTTAAAAAATAATTCAAATTTTACTTTACTTAATTTTTCAGGAACCAGAGATTGTAAACTTCAGCATGCCTCCACCATCAAAGAAACCCTTGCGAATTAAGCGCAGCAATCCCACTTCAAATCAAGACGAGGAGTACTTGAACCGCACACAGAATCTTGTTCATCCTCAATGGGAAGTGTTGGATCCTACTCCAGACATTACTGCGCTGTTTTCGGCCTTCGACGACAAATTCTTCCAAAGTCGCTTGCGATGTGTAACTTTGGAGTGGAGTAAACGTATGTATAGCTGTGCTGGAATATGTTATTCGAGGCGCAATCGTTTTGGAATGGATATAACTATTCGATTAAGCGAACCTCTGCTAAAGTTAAGACCACGCAAAGACTTGGTTGAAACTATGTTGGTTTGTGGTCCAAAATATACACTTGAATTGAATACTGAAACTATTCACTTATAGCACGAAATGATACATGCATACTGTTTTGTCTTGAATATTCGGGAAGGTAACGGTGGTCATGGCCCAAATTTTAAAAAGGTCATGTACGCTATAAATAAAGTGGCGGGCACCAACATAACAGTGAGTATTTTTTGTTTAGCAAAAATCGAACTTTCTTAAATAAATGATTTTTTTAGGTATACCACACTTTCCACGATGAAGTGGACGTGTATAAACAGCACTGGTGGCGTTGCAATGGAAGCTGTACAAACCGCGCACCATTTTTCGGCTATGTGAAACGTACCTCGAACCGGGCCCCGGGCCCAAACGACCAATGGTGGGCAGCGCATCAGGAGTCCTGCGGAGGCACCTTTATGAAAATCAAGGGTCCAGATAAGCCAAAGAAGCAAAAAACGTCAAAGGATACAAAACCAGCAACCGGCAAGGATCTACGTACATTCTTTCCCACTGTGGATAAAAGAATAAGCTCAACACCCAAATTATCCGATGCAAATAACGTGAGAAGCTTTGAAAATGGCATTACAGGTTTTGGTGGCACTAAAGGTGCGTTTCTTATTTTTTACCCACTCTGTAAGCGCCTGCAAAGCTTTCGTTTTTTTTTTTTT